AAAAAAATTAAAAAATATTTTTTTTTTATAATTTTAATATTTTCTAAGTAAAAATGCTCCTCACTCGCCTTAATAGGCGTGTAGTTACACACTTTTGCCAACTCAGACATCCTAATGCCACATAAGCCTGGTCAATGGTCAGAGGGGTTTGTTAAATTGTGTTTTATTGAGTTTAAGGGTTCAGTTGACAAATGATTAAGTAGAAGGGTTCACAATACAAATACATACAAGTATAAGGGTTCACCAAACCATTTTGCCTAACTTTTTTCTTTCTTTCTCTGAATAAATTGATGCATTTCTAATTATTGAATTGCCTTTTTGCGATACACTTTTACTGTGTTTTTTTTCGTTAGGATAATTAACTCTTTGATCCCCTAGTTTTTGGTTGATATTGAAAAATACCCTTTTCAAGTATTTGGAGTTTAAAATAAAATAAAAATTATATTTAGATATGAATGTTTTTGTAATTAAAGTTGAAATGTATAATAGGTTATCTTTCTGATTTTATTTTTTTTAATTGTATAAGCACTTTAATAATATTATTTCCAAACATCATTAAAGTATTTGTTATATACCATCTAGTATGTTGTTAGGTTCAATTTTCAAATATCAATATAATCTCTGGACTCTACAATAAAAAAAAGAGTTACAGAAGAAAGAAAGAAGGAACTCACATTGACAATTAACCCAAGAGCATTCATCTTGAGATGAGCTTCCTACTGAGATGTTTTCAATAGTTATTTATTTTCTATTGGGTTACGAAGTGTTTATCGTGGATTCATATTAATTGATATACTAGAGGTGTGTCCTCCCGATCCTCTCGTATAGAGAAAGGTTCTCTCAATGCTCTAAGGATTGCATTGGATATGGATCAAACTATCTCACAACATTCTGAACCTGCCTTATGTATCACTTTAATGACTACTACTTCTTTAGTGTCCTCAAATTCCGTTCTTCATTTTTTAAATCGGTCAACTCATTTCTCATTGATGCCTCGTGTTGAAAAGGGACACACATGACTGAAATGAGATGCTTTTATTATGATTTTCATAGTCTTATCACCAATTAATCTTCGTGTAAATGTCCTTATAATCTAACTCCTCCTTAAATTTCCTTTATTTACATAGAGAACAACTATCTCTACACAATTTATATTAAATTTATAATAACCATCTGTCAAGTTTAGTGGAAAAGGCAAATCTTTGCTATCGTCGTAACTTATAATCAAATTCAATCCTTTTTCGCCAACTCATTTAAACAACATTAACGCTAGAAATGTTCATAGTTTGGTTAAAATCAAATCCAAATTAATATTCCATTTGTCTCATTTTATGTGACATTATTTGACTTGACATGATATTTAAGAAAAAAATGAAGAATTTTGAAATTTGAGGTCTAATTTTAAAGTTAAATTGTTTCTAATTATAGTGAGATGACATTCTTTTTGGGATGAACTATTAAAGAAAGAGTTTCATATAAAACGAGACAGAGGAAGTAATAAAATCAATTTTTGTTTGGTATTACATTTAGTTTTATTCAATTTTTAATAATTAAGAAAATTATTAAATTGATTCAATTTTTTCTTTTTACCAACACTTACAATAGTCCTATCTGGGCTTTTGTAGACGATGTTGATCATTTTAGCAAAGGAAAACCCGGCCCGTTACCACTTATCTACAATCTATTCTCCGTCTTCTCCAATCCCTTTGCCACTGATAAACCCTGGCAGAACCCTAATCCTCCATTATCGCAAGGGACCATTCGAGATGGCTCTCTCCAAGCACACTTTTTTCACCCATCACCTAAGAACCCTAGCTAAACCCCAGTATCTCCGCCGCCCTCAACCACCACCTTCCTTCATTTCCCTCCGTCTCCTCTCATTTGCCACCCCAGAAGAGGCTGCCGCTGAACGCCGTAAACGCAAACGCCGCCTCCGTATTGAACCCCCTTTATCCTCCCTCCGTCAGCAACATCAACCTCGTCCCACTGCACCTCAAAACCCTAGCTCCACTAATAACCCGAATGCACCGAAGATCCCCGAAACTGTTTCTGTACTATCCGGTAATAGACTTAATCTCCATAATCGGATTCTTAAACTGATTCGTGAGAATGATTTGGATGAAGCTGCTTTGTACACGCGGCACTCTGTTTACTCTAATTGCCGCCCTACTATCTTTACTTGCAACGCTGTAATGGCCGCGCAACTCCGGCAGTCGAGATATTCTGATCTACTTTCTCTTCACCGGTTTATCACACAGGCTGGTATTGGGGCTAATATTGTCACACATAATTTGCTCCTCACGGCTTTTATGGATTGCCGGAAAACGGATATGGCTATGGAACATTACAAGCAGCTCATCAATAATGCACCATTTAACCCTTCTCCGACTACGTATCGGATACTTATGAAAGGGCTTGTTGATAACAACAAGATTGATAGGGCGATGGAGTTGAAGGAGGAAATGTTGTCCAAGGGGTTTTGTGCTGACCCGATTGTGTATAGTTATTTGATGTCTGGACAAGCTAAGGGTTCGAACCCAGATGCAGTTTTCGAGCTTTATGAAGAATTGAAGGAGAAATTGGGAGGAAGTGTTTCGGATGGAGTAATTTATGGGAGCTTAATGAAAGGTTATTTCTTGAGGGGAATGGAGCAGGAGGCTATGGAGTGTTATGAGGAAGCTGTGGGTGAGAATTCTAAGATTAAGATGAGTGCTGTGGCATTCAACTATATTCTTGATGCTTTAAGTAAGAACGGAAAGTTCGATGAGGCATTAAAGCTATTTGATAGGATGCTGAATGAGCACGATCCTCCAAAAAGATTGACCGTGAATTTGGGTAGCTATAATGTTATGGTGGATGGTTATTGTGCATTGGGAAGGTTCAAAGACGCAATCAATGTATTTAACAGCATGGGAGAGAAGAGGTGTAGACCAGACACATTGTCTTACAATAATCTGATTGAGCAGTTGTGCAAAAATGACTTGTTGGGTGAGGCCGAGGAGCTCTACAAGGATATGGGCGAAAAGGGGGTCAGCCCTGATGAGTTCACGTTTGTTTTGTTGATGGATACTTGCTTTAAAGAAAGTAGGCCTGATGACGCTGCTGCGTATTTTAAGACTATGGTGGATTCTAAATTGAGGCCTAATCTTGGGGTTTATGATAGGTTGGTTGATGGTTTGGTCAAAGTTGGTAAAGTTGATGAAGCAAAATCATTTTTTGATCTGATGATGGGAAAGCTCAGGATGAATGATGATAGCTACAAGTTTATGATGAATGCATTGTTTGATATTGGGCAGCATGATGAGGTGCTTAAGATTGTGGATAGAATGTTGAGGGAGGATCCAGCTGATTTCTCTGATGAGTTGCAAGAGTTTGTTCGAGAAGCCTTGGCGAAGGAAGGTAGAGATGAGGAGTTGACCAAGCTTATGGATGATATCGAAAGGGAGAAGAAAGAAGCCGCAGACAGGGAGGTTGAAGCAGCCGAAAAAGCGAAGGCCAGTGCAAGAGCTGCTGTTTCCTCTTTGATAAATAGTCCTAAATTGTTTGGAAATAAGGAGCCTGAAGAGCAGTCAACAATTGCTGGTGAGGCTGCCAGCATCAATGATGATGACAAACAAGAGGAGGTGAGTGTTCAAGAAACTGCTGCAGAGGCTAGTTCTACTGGGGAGGGTGCAGAAGCTGAGAACCTGGTTGCTACAGAAGCTAGAAGTGATGGTGCACTTTGATCAGGTGGCAGAATGATAAAATATGTTAATGAGAAACAATAGTAGGTTTCTTTTCAGTCTGCCACACTTGCAAGCACGAACTATAATCCTCTTATGATAAATTACTAGCGGAAAATTGTTTGTAATTTAGATGGAAATGAAATGAAATGATTTTTTTGATCATCTTTAAGTAAATGGTGAGTAACAATTTGCAATGCAGCAATATCTCTGGTGTAATCTAACTCGTCTCATTTCTTGTTTCACTAGTACAGTAGTACCTAAGTTATTTTGTGAATGTACTGTGAGACCTGTATTATAGCGTTATTAATGTAGTTCAATATTTTTTAATCAAAGTATTCATGTAGTTGAAGAATCATATGAATCATTAGCTTCCCATCTAGGCTCACAGTGGATACACTTAATTTTAGAATGGTAAGACATTGTGTGTGTGTAGCACAAAAGCTGCACTAGGCCATCTTTACAAAAGCATCAGAAGTCATAGCTTCTACAGGTATTGTATGATATCTAACACTGAATCAACATCTTAATTACACCAAAAGTGCTGGTTCTTTTTTGGTCTGACTAGTCCTCCAGACAAAGTTCCGACAAGCAAGCAGCTTCCCTGTATTCTTGGCCATGATCCATGGCAAATCTCTCATACTCCGGAATAGTTGCCATAGGAATCTGGTAACCTCACACTGTATAAATAAATGGTTGCCACTTTCACTCCTTCCCACAAAGATAGCTACCTTGAACACAAATGCCTTCATGTTCTCTTTAAGTTATCTTGTGTTAGGCCGGCATCTATGACAACCAACCACACAAAACAAGCCATCTTAGGGTCTTTTTTTTTCACTTTCCAGACTGCTCTCCAGCTCCATATATGGAACTGTTGACAAGCATGATTAAGATATGTGTATGCCAGAGTTCATCGTAAAACTGCCCTTACTATGTCTTCTCCAATTTTGTCTGTCCTCTATTGTTGTCCCATTGAACTGATCAAGAACTTCTAAAAATTCAGTGAATCTGGCTAGTTCTCCCCAACATCATTTCATTGTAAACATGTTCTGGGGTTGGCTCGGAGGAGTTGTGCATTACTGCATTAGGTTCATCTTTGATTATTTGACTTCTACTACCTACATTATGTAGTTGGCACTCTGGCAGATTTTTGAACATTTCGTTTATTACTAGTATCTTTTACCACAGCCGTTAGGAGATAGACTGGTCATTCTAATGATCGAGATTTCTTCTAATGTCATGAATTATTCAAGAATTGAGATGACACTACAACACAAGGAGTTGTAAGATGGTTATTAACAATTGATACGACTAAATCTTCAGGGACAATGATATGTAGCTGGGCAGAGCATGAAGTTCCGAGGGTACAAACAGATTGCTGTCTGTCTCTTTACACCCACTGTCACACGCACATACATCCACAGGAAAAAATAGGGGAGGGAAAAGTAAAGGAAAAGGAAAAAAAAAAACAATCACTCCGAGAAATAAATTAGCTACACAGATTTGGTATGCACACTCCACCTTCTGGATTTTGCTGTTCTTTCCATATCCTTCCAGTAACTCGAAGTTTTAGCTCCTTTCGATCCCCTCCAGAAAAGAAAAGTGCCATGTTACGTTGGATTATTAGACCATCATGACTGTCCCTGACCTTGCGGTGGCTATCTCGAACACTTCTTGGTGTTCCCTCCCATATGAGCTTTCTACCATTTCCTCCTACTTCGAGACTATAACTGTAATTGCGTGCCTCAGATTCATCACCCATAAATCGTAGAAAGGCCATATAAACAGGGGCCATACCAAGCTGGAAGGCCTCAAAGTGGAGACAGAAATACTGTCCAAAACAATGGAAGACCTGAGAAAGGAGTAACAAGGGTTTCGTCAATGATAACGAACTCGGCATACGTCAACATGTATATATAAAAAGAGAGAAATGACATTATGCAGAATGCAGGCAACCACAAGATGTCTAGGCAGAAATTAAAACATGTCATGCCTTAAAATTCATCCCTATCTATCTTGTATTTGTATATATAAAAGTAAAATGCCACAGTACATCTCCTTCGACATCATGCAAGCTATTTTTTTTAGTTTGAAGATCATCATAAGGATGCCATTTTTCTTTATTTGAAGACCATCATAAGGATGCCTTTCTTCCTTTGTCGATATTCAGAAACTCAATATCCAATAAATGAGAGACGTGTGACCTTCAACAGAATGATATAATACTGTCCAATGTATTCCTTAAGAGAGTCTCTAGGAAAGGATCTACCTATCAAAGAAAATATTGCAGAAAGAGAGAACAAGATAATACAGGGTATTCCCAAAGCCTTAAGAAATGGTCATGGTATAATTTGGTTATCCACATTCTCCCATTTCAATAATTCATCCACAGAACTTTTATAGGTCTATTTCTTAGCATCCTGATTGTTAAGGGTGAATAAAAAGGATACTTGAACTTTCATAAACCAAAACAGCATGAAACATATAACACATGAATCATGATGCTATGCTCAGAATCATTATTGAACTCAAAAAAATTTAAAAGTTGATGGACTTACCGTCAGCATCCATGTGGCATTTTCTACTTCTCGAGGATTTGATTTCACGTAGCGATGGTTGAATGTGCATCCCGTGTGCATATCCACTTTGTGATCATCTCTTAAATGTGAAACCAAATAAGGGATGTCGCCAGTCACTGAACATTCTGATCCAGCATATGGGCAATTGTATGGTCTAAAATTGCACAGTGCCTCATGCTTGAGCTTACTGTAATATGGGAATATTTCTGGGCATCCCAAAGAAAAATATTTGCAAGGCAGTTCAAGTGACTCTGCAACCTTCTCCAGTGCTAAGCACCTTATATCACCAAGCTCTTGTCTACATGTAGGACATCGATTGTGCACCCTTGTTTTGCAGGTAGAACAAAGTGTGTGCCCATTGTGACACTGCAAAATAAACAAACTTTCAAGTCTTTCATAACTGTAGGAACTCTAATTTTATAGAAATGAACAAATGCATAGACGCTTGTCGTGGGTCACCCAGCTTATGCACCACAAACTATCATCAGAAAAATAATTTACTTGCAGCAAGGAGAATCATAACAAAACAAATTTTAACAAATGCGAAAGCTCTAGGGAAAGGAGAGGACGCATATTCATTAGTGGTTATACAATCCCAGCATTCTCTAAGGACATGCTTTCCACTCTATATGATGTAGGAAAGCAGTCTGCTATAAGATTTAGCCAGCAAAGCCTTCTTTTACTAATTGATAATAATTTGGTAGACAAATAACGAATCTACTCTACCCTAAGCTACCATCTTTCTTCCTTATGATTCAACCACGGCAGATATTTAGTCAACTGCGGTTACACATGACAAGTTTCCGACTTGATCTCAACAGAAAACAAACTTTATGCATTTATTCTATAAGATACAAGCAATGTGAATTTCGATCGAGTTGCCTGAAATATACTCTCAGGTTGTACCAACAGGCTTACAAAAATGAAACAAAAAGACAGCACCTATATATGCTGAGGAGTTCCTATTTCTACTCATAGAATTCCTAGTGAATTAGAATTAAGCGATGTCAAATTGCAATGAACTCACCTGAAATATACTCAAAGATTATACCAACTTACAGGCTTCCTATAAATAAACTAGAAAGACTATACCTATATATGCTGATGTAATTCTAATTTCAACTTATACAATTCCTAGTAGCATTCGATATTTCCTGGAAGACCATAGCTGAATTAGTCTCACCGAGAGTACCATTTGCATTTATAACTTATCCAAGAAAATTTGGACATATGATAACAGGGTGAAACAATAAAATTTACCTCCGTAAATTGCAGTTATACAAACACATCAAAACTTTCATATACAGTTTCTTTTCCACCTTCTCAAGCCTCTCATTTTCTGTCCAGTGAGGAGGAATTTCATGTAATTATTTACTTACCATTGAATGGGGTGAAGGCTGTAGGGATTATGTGGTTTTCCATAGATTGAGTGCCTTCCCGACAGAAGACTCATTTCTTTTCCCTAACAACCCTATCCTACATATGTGAACACCTAAAGGATCAAATTGATGCAACCTTCTAAGACGTCACTAGTTTGATCCTAATCAATGCTAAAATGGTAAAAGCCTAAAAGGCTGCACAAATCTCAATCAAAGACAATGAGCTTCCAAGAGCATTAATAAGCAGAATATGACTCTAGCCAATCTACGCAGCTGGCAGATGTTACAACAGCGTACTCCCCCACAGAGCTGCTATACTAAGTCATTAACGAGAGTAGACTATGTTTTTCATAATGGTGGTGTTTGGACTTACTATCTGCTGACCTGGAATATTCCACCGTGTACCTACCATCTCCACTAGCATAAGTATCAAGTAACTCTGCCACCAAGACTTAACCCGAGAGGAAATCACCAAACAATTTTTCTTTTCTCAGCTAAAATTTGAACCCTGGTCTCACATCATTTTCACCCAATTCATTGACTGTTATCCCACATTTTTGGGTGTAAGGGGCTGACAAAATCTTTCTCATTAATCCATCTCATGGAAGGATTCAAATTAAAGAACAAAGTCTTAAGGCTGATATGTTTATTCAACAAGCAGCAAATCATCTCTCTTCATATTCATGAAAAAAATCAACTAACTAAGTTAATTGTAAAACAGTTAAGTTCAGTGGCCTTCATTTGGCGAATGCCCAACAGTCAAAAAGTATACAGCATATCCAATAATCTGCAGTCATTTTTGAAAACTCAAGCTGTTACAAGTTGATCATCAATCCGTTAAACATTCGGAAATTGATTAAAACCAACTCAAATTCTCCAAAAAGACTTTCATCATTCTCACTTCCTCAGCATACCACAACCAAAACTATCAACCCCCATTATCATGCTTTTACCTCAATCTAAAGTTTGCAATATTTCTAAAGAGTCAAAACAGCATTTGAAAATTCTAACAAAATCAACTTTAACTTTAAGGTTAAAATAGCACAAAGAAAGATCAACATACAACATTTCCAACACATTTAACATCATTTTCCATCAACAGAACAGCAAGAATTAACATTGAAGACATAAAAACCCAACCTTTACATAGAAAAAAACGAAAACAAACGAATCTCACAAATAGGAAAAGGGACAAAACCCAAACAAACAAACAAAAAAGAAAATACCTGATGAATTGGTGGATACATAGAATTGGTGCAAACGGGGCATTCAAGCAATTCATGTACACTAGTAGGGGCAAGTCCGGGAAGAAGAATATTATGAGGTTTTGCAGAAGAAAATTGATGATTATGAGATAACTGGATCTCTTCATCTTCAATACCATCAGTTGACGAAACACACTCAATGTTCTCCATTTCCATTGCTCCTTTACAAAATCTGAAAGCAACCCACTTTGACCCAATTATCAAATAGAGAAAAAGATTCAATCTTTCTCTCCACCCAATAAATTTCAAGTCACAAATGGCGCATATCGCAAAATTCACATTTCTTGATATATCAACGGCAAGAACAAGAAGAAGAAGCAAAAGAAATGAAATTAAAGATCGGCAACGGATTCTGATGAAAGAACCAAATCAAACAAACTTTTTTTCTCCCTGAAAATCCCCCACCCCCCTCTTCTTCTTCCTCTCCGGTGGCTCTGAATTTCTGTTAGAGAAATGAGGATCACCGTCAAATTCCCGACATAATTTGTTGTTAGATACTTTATCTGACGGCTACTGATTTTTCTTAATTCCTGTTTTTTTTTTTTTTTTGAAATAGAAATGATTAATACAGAAAACTATTGGCTATTTTAATGTGATTTTTTTTTGGGTTCTGAAATTCCCAATACAGCTATTTGCCTATTTGGTGCTTTTTGTTTTTGTTTTTTGGTCTTCTGAAAAGAGGGAAAAAAAATACTTATCAGTATTTTATTTAAGAACTGCTGGATAGAAAAATAAAAGGTGGGTCAGTATTTTGCCTTTGATTAAAATACCTAAAGTTTGATTTAAATTTTAAAATATATATTTTTATCTTGTTGATATAAGATAATTGCAATCTATAGCATTATGAATATTCTAATTTTAATTTTTAAATATTAAATTAATTAAATTGTCTTTCGAAAAATGAAAAGTGTACTTAAAATTGAAATGGAGAAGCATAATGTGTTTTTTAATATACACTTCTTATTTAATTATAATTAGATAAGTTTTACTTTCATTTGATTTATCAGTTAACTATATTATACTCTTTTCATCCCCATATTAATCATCACATTTTTCTCTCAACCCCCATTTAGAAAATTACAAATAAGAAGTGTTTTTTTCCACTAATAGTATTTTTAAAGGTAAAATGAAAATAATAATAATATTTTATTTTTATAAATTAATAAGAATTTGGGACGAATATTTTTAACAATGTTGACAGCTAGTAATGAGATTAACTAGTTATATTTTAAAAAGAAAAAAAAAGTAAAAAGTTGTCATTGATGATTGTCTCAAACTATTTCAATGGTATTGATGGAGAACAAGGTGAAAATAACGAAGGCAAGAAAGCGTGAAAGAATCTTTCTTATTTTTGTTAATCTAATAAGAATCCTAAACAAAGTTCTATAATTAATTTAGAGTCCAAATTATTATATAATACTTTTTTTGTTATTTTTACTTAAATATTAATAATATGTGGATATATAAAAGAAATAAGTATTTCTAAAAATGAATCAACGATGTAATTCTCTTGTCCATTGTCAGTGTTAATCTCTTCCAATCGTAGACATTGACTCATTGAGTGTGGGAATGTAGAAGTCATTTTTGCCGGACTTCTTGGTATTAGTATAGGTATTGTGGTGTAGTGACAAAATTGCTTCACCCTTAATTAAAAGTTTCGAGTTTGAGCCCTAAATATTGAGAAAATCTTGTTGGGAGCGTCACCCTCAAATGAGTTTTGTAGCGCAAAATCTGAATTTAGTCAAATTCCAATTCACGCCAAATTTAATCGAACTCTAATGCGTGTTCTGGATGCACCAAAGGAAAAACTGTGAATAGCTTAATGGTGGATACATAAAAGAACAATTACGGTTTAATAACGGCATGATATACATACATTTATGATTAATTAGGAATTAAGTCATACTTTGGTACAGCTATTATCATTATTATCCAAATTAAGCAACAAATGTAAACAATCCAACAACAAATAAAAATTTAAAAATAAAAAGATTTATTCTTTATATGAGATGGCCGGTGCACTGCAGGTGATGCCATGATGTAGAATTGGACAAATGATTAAAAAAAATCTCTTATTTCCCACGCTTCTTAATTAAATTTTATATCAAATGCAATTTGAAAAAAGAAAAGAAACAATGATTACAATAAAATATTATATATGATAATCGATGTATTAAAAATTAATAGATAATGATACGAATGAAAGTATAGAAAAGCACAAAAGTAATATAATAACCAGTATGGAAGGATAAATGTGATAACGCTCAACTACGTCATAATCACCTACTATCCTAATTCATGTCCTCCATAACCTCCTATCTAAAATCATGTCCTCGACAAATAAACATCACTTACAACAGTGTGTGCCACATTTTCCTGGCAGACTCAACCTTATTATTTGCAATGTTTTGTGGGTAGAATCACAGTATTGTCTTGGTCTCTCAGTTAGCAGTGTTGTTTGTTACAAAAAAATAATTTCCATGCACTAATTATTTTCTCTCATTTTCTATGATTGCTCTATTGTCTTAGCCAATAGATCAGAAGGTCACGATTTAAGTCTTGAAAATAATCTTTGATAAAAATGCAAGATAAAACTACATATATATAATAGATCCTTGTGGTTGAACCTTTCCCGGACCGACCTACGCATAACAAGAGCTTTAATGCACCGAGCTGCCCTTTTACTCTATTGTCTATGCAACAAACGTGTTTAAAGAGAGTCTACATTCTTCTCTTACGTCGAAAAGCCTATCCCTAACAATTCTTCTTTCTAAAAGAGAACAGAAAAGGACGATAATAAGAAATTAAATAAAAGAATATAATCTTTTGAATAAATTTTTTATCGATTTCCCCAATAATTAGTGCACGAGGTTGTTGCCAATATTAGTCACTCAATGATACAATTGCTTACATCTTTTGCTTTCTAGAGAGACCTCTCTCACCTTTGCGTGCTCATCTTTCCATACTTTTACATAAATAAAAAATGAAATCTTATGGTTTAAACAAATGACAGAATGTGAGTACCAAACATATCATCTTATACACCTCATCACTCTCCAAAATAAAGGTCCCCACCAAAAATTTCTTTCTTTTTTTTAAGAAAAAGATTTGAATTGCGGTGTCCAGTAATTCATCGCTTCATTGACCAATAGACTATACCTTAATGCCCCCACCAAACTTTTCCTCAAAGTGATAGCTAATTGGACCGTTAGGAAAAACTTCACAAATAGCCGCTTTTCGACCCTGTAAGTGAAAGATAGCTGATTTCATGGAGTTTTACTTATGGAAATTGAAACTCCAAGACAAAAGTAGCTGCCCTCTATGCACGGAGTCCAGAGAAGGGCCAAACCACAAGGGTTTATTGTATGCAATCTTACCCTACATTTCTGTAAGAGGTGGTTTCCACGGCTTAAACCCATGACCTCCTGATTGCATAACAACAACTTGACCAGTTATGTCAAGGCTGTCATCTGAAGAAATTGTGTTTTTTGCTAAAAGAAGACTAGAGCATAAGATGCATATTCTGTTCAAATAAATAGCCAAGAGGAAAGTTGAGAAGGGTGGCACTTTCTAACTTCAGAATTATATATATAGCTAGAGCAGATCAAAGAATAAATAGTAAGATAACAGTAAAACACAACAAAATGCAGTATGAAAGTACATTGAGCTCTATTTAAATAACATTGTTTATTTGAATTTAGATTACTGTACACAATTGAGACCAGAAATACACCTCACAGAACATTTACAAAGCAACAATGGAAGGAAGCTCCTGTTCCGCCTCATGGTCTCCATCAGACCCCTCCATGTTTGACTGTAGTAGTGCAACATGAAAAACATTAAATACTATAATTTGACACTGTATTTGCAACATCAAATACTAGATCATGCCAGTGTCCAATAATTCATCGCTACATTGACCAATAGACAATACCTTAACACCCCCACCAAACTTTTCCTCAAAGTGATAGCTAATTGGACCGTTAGGAAAAACTTCACAAATAGCCGCTTTTCGACCCTGTAAGTGAAAGATAGCTGATTTCATGGAGTTTTACTTATGGAAATTGAAACTCCAAGACAAAAGTAGCTGCCCTCTATGCACGGAGTCCAGAGAAGGGCCAAACCACAAGGGTTTATTGTATGCAATCTTACCCTACATTTCTGTAAGAGGTGGTTTCCACGGCTTAAACCCATGACCTCCTGATTGCATAACAACAACTTGACCAGTTATGTCAAGGCTGTCATCTGAAGAAATTGTGTTTTTTGCTAAAAGAAGACTAGAGCATAAGATGCATATTCTGTTCAAATAAATAGCCAAGAGGAAAGTTGAGAAGGGTGGCACTTTCTAACTTCAGAATTATATATATAGCTAGAGCAGATCAAAGAATAAATAGTAAGATAACAGTAAAACACAACAAAATGCAGTATGAAAGTACATTGAGCTCTATTTAAATAACATTGTTTATTTGAATTTAGATTACTGTACACAATTGAGACCAGAAATACACCTCACAGAACATTTACAAAGCAACAATGGAAGGAAGCTCCTGTTCCGCCTCATGGTCTCCATCAGACCCCTCCATGTTTGACTGTAGTAGTGCAACATGAAAAACATTAAATACTATAATTTGACACTGTATTTGCAACATCAAATACTAGATCATGCCAGGTTAAACTTACCTCAGAATCCTTTGATCTATTCTGTGGAAAGTGTTGGTCAAATGCACCTTTGCCATAAAGGATTTTACCCCCACATCCTCGTCCCTCAGTTCCTACAGACTCCTCATCAACTACAACGGCATCTATTACATCATCGCCTGTTCTGACATCAGGAATCTGCAAGACATGCAAATCAGAAATATGCTGGCAGAAGGAACGACAAAAGGAAATAAAATAAAGGACAAGCAAGTTTGAGGGAGTCCAGCAACAGGCTACAGTTTATTTAGAATGCATCTCTCCAGGCTACTATGTATTGTTTAGATGATTCCCTCTAAAATTTTGATGATTGTTCTGTTTATTAGTTACAAAAAGTTTGTCAGCTCAACGTTTCACAGTATACTTGGTAAAAACCAAGAAGTATTTGTCATTAACTCAGTACATACTTTATAATATAAACATACACAGAACTCAACCTGCATGTTCTAAGCTCAATCATAGAGATGTTCAGAATTTGAAATAAGCACCATGGTCTGATCAATTTTATTTTGAACATTACGTTCAGCAATATAATCCCCAGCCAAAGAAAAGCTAAGTTTCTCAGGGGCGAGTGTCTGATATGGGTGTGGATCTAGAGGTCAGATCCTTCGTGATCTAAATTTTAAAATTCGGGGGTATGGATACGAATGTAGGGATTCGGTTAAAAAATAATTCAAATATCTAAAAATCGAGTTATATGTCTAAATTATGAGACATTATGTGGGTAGCTTTCAAGGTATTATGAGGAAAAATATACATCAAGAGGAGAATGCCAGAAGGTGATACAAGGAAAATGACTGACAGAAATTGCTATATACATGGTACTCCATCTTCTTCAATTTTACCTGTAACTTTTGTTTTGATTACGGAAATCTTTGTATCTGTACCAAATTTCTCCGTCAAGTATGGTCAAAATACCCAAAACAGTTGACCAAATCGGGTCTGGATCCC